GGCAACATACACTTCGATTGTTGGTAATGTTAATTCAGAGCTTGTAATTTGTTTTCCCTTCAAGAATCCAGTCCCAGCCGTGATCTCCGATTCACAATTCATATTCCATCGTTTCATATTGTTCTTAGATTCTCCCGTTAAACCTTTACTATTGGACATCTCCAAAAACCCAGAAAGAATAACATCGTCCTTATCATAAACCTCAAATTTCACACTCCCTGTTAATCTAATACTGTCTGTGCTTACAAATGTTGCTTCTTCTGATTGCTTATCTGCTCGATCCCTCCGAAGAAGCGAGGAAACCCCATCGGAGTAAATGCTACTTCTAACACCATTAACTTCCAAAAGGGTGTCAGGGCTAAGAGGAATATGACTGAGAGTGAGGAACTCAGGAGTAGAATCATCTACCTTGACATTGCTGACCCTCACATAGAACACTCTCAAATCAAACCAGGGTGATGGTAGCTTGGCGCAGGGTTGGTAAGGAGAGTATCTAATAATCTGAAGGCATGGATCAGCCACCTCACCGTTGTTTGTTGTTCTGCAAGGACTCTCCATAGCCGTACTTAGGAGCTAAACTTCACCAGGAACACTCAACAAAGATTGGAAGAAGCATTTCATCAAGCAGTTTACAGATACGAAACTGGTCCAAAGCAAAACAGAGTTAGAATGCTCAAGTTGTGAATCTTTTGAATCTTTTCATAATAAGGAAAGCCAGAAAAACACAATTCAGCAAATCAAAGTGTAACTTTTCCAAGTGTTAAACCAAGCTATTTTAAAGGAACAAAAAAATAAATAAAAAAAGACCTTGAATAAGGAAAGAAAAACCATAAGAGGAAAAATATGGAAGCAACTTCGCTAATTGCTATCTGTCCAAAAGAGAATATTAAAAAGAACACGTCTCGGCAGATATCTATTCCCAGTATGAGAAACGGAAGTTGAAATTTCAAGAGGAAAACAGAGAAGGAAGGCCAGAGAGAGCATCCAAGATTCCCTGAACTTGACCTCTTAATCGAAAAATAACAAATTACCAGGTTAAAAAAAGAACTCCGCAAGAACGATTAATAACCCACGTCTGAAATATGGCAAGAAAATTTATTGGGATGAATAAACATAGAATTCATCGAAACAAGGAAAAATTAACTTAAGGGTTGAAGAAATGTGAAGAGAAGACACTGCTCTGACGCAGAAACTGGGAATTTATTAATGCAGGAAAACAGTCAGATAAGCGTAATAGATGCAAATGATAAGAAAAGAAAAAAGAAAAAAAAGAACAGAGAGGAACCCACCAGGGATCTGCAGAAGGAAGGCAAACGAAATTCAGTTCTCGATCTCCACACCATCCAACTTCATCAAAATTACCAGAGAAAATCGGTTAAGTTTTATACTCTATTATCATCATCATCTTGTCAAAGAAAAACGAAACAGAAAATTTAGAAAAAAGATGGCGGCATAATCCAACAAAATTACCAGAAATTAACAGATAATAGAAACCCAAGTCATAGAACCGGTCCGCTCTCTGTTCTCTCTCTTTTGAATTGCATCAGAACCACAGAAGAATTTTTCTTTTTACCCAAAAAAAAATAATAATAATAAGCAACTTACCAAGAAAACCTTGCGTCCAGGATCAAAAGTTAACAGAGTAGTGATATATATATATATATATTATTACATATGTATATAATCAAAATACTATAGGAAGCGGCTCATGTTATCGCTTTCAATCTCGGCAAAGGCCTAAAGCATTTGATCCGCGTGAGCAAAATTAGTGGCCAACAGTATTAATGACCCCGCCCCTACGAACACTAGAGCTCGTTAAAACGAATGCACACGTACTAATTACCGTCGCTATAAAATTGTTTTTCCATGAATAATATCACCTTATGTTTTAAAGTTCAATTTTATATTTTTATGTTGTTTTAGAAGGAAACGTAATATTGTAGGAAAATGGCGGAAAAGGGAAGGTCGATGGGACGCAGAGGAGAATGGTGGGGTGGTATCATTATATCAATCATCACAATCACAATGGGTTCATCTGACGGATCTTATCCGATTATTTCCGTTTACGAGGTCTGAAAATGATGTTCAGAAATTTAACGGCCGTTAAATCAAGCCCCTTCCTGCTCTTCCCTTCATCTCATCTCATCGCATCATTCACCACCCGCCCATTTTTTTATACAAGTTTTATTTTAGACCGTTTACATTTTCACAACATATATATATATATATTACCACTATTATATTTATCTACTGTAAATCTCTTAATAATTTATTTAACTATTACGAATTAAAATTTATTGAATAAATAGAATTTAATTACTATTGCAGAATTTATTAATATATAAATAAAAATTTATTGATTAAATTTTAAAATTTTTTTTAAAAGAAATTAATTAGATCAGTTGAGATAATCACGATAAATTAATATTAATTTTTTAGTTAAACAGCCAACATTTTTATTTTTATTGGGATATAAGTTTGACTTTTAAATTAGATAATTAAAATTTTTATTATCTAAATTATTTAATTAAATAATTAATATTTTATCAATACAAATTAATTTTTAGTTAAATAATTATTACTTTCAATTTTAGAAGTATAATATTGAAGCGACCATCTTTGTCTTGGGCAGCGTATTAAAAAAAAGAAATTCAGAACTTGAGAAGGAGAGAGAGCTTTGTTTTATGGAATCGAGTCGATCAAATTTTCTAGCAACACGCTAAAGTAGGAAACAATGTTCCAAAATTACAAATTCTAATCAAAACTCCTAAGAATATCCTTTGTAGGGTTCGGGATTCATTCTCTCACTGCTCTTTATAGTTGATTTCAGTAACATGTGGTATCAATCGCATGCTACAGTGTTATTACCTTTCTCCCAAAGACCATACTTCAAATCAAATAAATTTCTTTTTCTTTTTCTTGTCAGCGCAAGAAATACCTGTTTGAAACCCTAGGTAGACTAGAAAGAGAGGGGAGGAAGAAGAAAGGATGTAAAGTTGGGGAAGAAATAGACGCGTCTCCTATTTGAGTTCACAGGGAACAGTGTAAGTTTTCTTTAGCTTTACTTTCCTTAGTTTTGCCTTTAACAGATGATGATGTAAATCTGGATTTGATTCGAGATGGAAGAGTTTTGGTTTAGTTTCCTGTTTGGGACGTGTGTTGTTCGATGAAATGCCAAAGTGAGCCTTCATTTATATGCGTGCATTGTGCTATTCTTACACGTTTGTTAATATTTTTTATTATATTAATTTAAGTTATCAGACTTTTTGGGTTTTTAAAGAAAATTATTTATGTTTTCTATTGATTAATATTTTACAATCATCACCTTATTAAACAATAAATTATTTTTCAGTTTAAAAAATTTTCGTGAATTGATGAAAGGAAGAACTTCAGTCAAAGATTCATGTCTGCTCAATTAGTGTAACCTTAATGAGGGGAGATGGCGGAAAGATTGAATTACAATTTTACCCTTGATTACTGACCGTCGAATGAGGTCAAAACTAAATTAGTGGCTGTTTGTATTTAAAGAGTGACTCTGTTGGTACTTTTCCTTCATTTGTCCCTAGTACTCTGCTTGTTTAAGCGGATTTGCTCGTCTCTGCGAACGCCTAAACGATACCTTCTCTTTCTCTTCTCCTTTCTGGCTTTACCAATTCTCTGTAGCTTCATCTCTACCAAAACCTTGGTGAGCAAAGCCGCATCTTGTAGTTTTTTCGCTTCTAGTAGAATAGGTTTTCGCTATCGAATTGTACTTTTCAGGCTGAATTTTTTGGGTTCTTGTTTTCCCGCGAGATTAAGCTTAATTTTGCTGTTTGATTGTTCAGTAAGGATTTCTGTGATCGTAGCTATTATAATAGGTTAAAACTTTGATAACTTTGATATGGAGATTTTGATTTTCTAGTTTTCTTGTGTGTGGCCTTTTGAATTATCAATCAGTATATCCTCTACGGTTTACTTGAATTTTTGCGGGAGGAATGGATTATGATCTGCAGTTTCATTTCTCTTTCGGCTTTAGAGATCAAATGCAAAAATTGATGGGATTTTGCTGAAATGGTTGATTGTGGGTGAAGTTCGTGTTACTGTGCGTGGATTGGTGGTCATGTGTTCGTGGGATTTGATTTTTTTTTTTTTATTGTGGACTTGTAAAAAGACATGAATGGCGTTCTTCTTAATAGGTTATGGCACATGAAGAGCTTACGACCACAGACAGGGAAGAAAAACAAGTGAATTCTGAAGGAAGAAAACCTCGGGTTTTACTTGCTGCAAGCGGAAGTGTAGCGGCAATAAAGTTTGGAAATCTGTGCCATTGTTTCTCCGAATGGGCAGAAGTACGAGCCGTGGCGACCAGATCTTCTTTGCATTTTATTGATAGAGGATCAATTCCCAGTGATGTCATTTTCTATACTGACAATGAAGAGTGGTCTAGTTGGAAAAAATTAGGTGATGATGTACTTCACATTGATCTCCGGCGATGGGCTGATGTTATGGTCATAGCCCCTTTGTCAGCAAATACACTTGCCAAGGTAATGTATGATAGATTTTTGGAATATTTGGTTTTTTTGCCTACCTATTTTAACTGGCTTCATGGTTAACATTGTTTAGTACATGGGGCTTGTAGAATGTTTGCCCCTTTTTGGGTGAGACTGATGGAGTGAAAGAACACTTAAAGATGGCTTCTTTTTCTGATTTTTTTGAGCATTTTTTTTTATTTGCAGAGAGGAACAGAGAACCAAACATAATAAAAATATTTGGTTTCATGGTTTGCTAGTACAGAAGCTCAAATGATTAGGGATGAGAAAGAAAAATGAATCACTTAGTACTATTTTCTTTAAATAAAGCATTTGATCTTTGAGTATTAGTGTCTTTTCTTTATGTAAAGCCTTTGATCTTTAGGTGTCTATGTTCTGTCATGTTGTTTTGTTTACTAATAAAATGATGAGCTAAAACTCCATTTAAGTTT